TCCCAGCTCCCACCATCCCTGCTCCCCCCAATCCCCCGTCCCAGCTCCCTCCATCCCTGCTCCCCCCAATCCCCTGTCCCAGCTCCCACCATCCCTGCTCCCCCCAATCCCCCGTCCCAGCTCCCTCCATCCCTGCTCCCCCCAATCCCCTGTCCCAGCTCCCACCATCCCTGCTCCCCCCAATCCCCCGTCCCAGCTCCCCCAATCCAGCTCCCCCCAATCCCCCGTCCCAGCTCCCCCCATCCCCAGCTCCCTCCATCCCTGCTCCCCCCATCCCAGCTCCCCCAATCCCCCGTCCCAGCTTCCTCCATCCCTGCTCCCCTCAGTCCAGCTCCCCCCCAATCTCCTGGATCCTGCTCCCCAAAGGACCTTGTTTCTTTCTTTCTTCCTTTTTTTGTTTAATGTCTTTGTCTCAATGGAAAATCCTTCCCTTGGGAAAATGTTCCCACCTTTGCCTCCCCGGGATCCGCGTCCCCACTGCGAGTCCCCGGCAGACTGGCAGAAGGGGACGGGGTCCGGGGCAAGGTGACAGATGCAGCAGTTCTTGGTGCAGACCTTGGCTGTCAGGGAGCAAAGGGCCATGGTCCCCTCATGAGCCCCATCTGGACCCATGTGCGGGAACCAGGATAACTAGTGGGACTCAGACTCCTGTGCCCCACATGGCTGGAGACCACACACACCGGGGCAGGGATAGTAACCATGCCAACGAAGGGGGTCGCTCAGGCTGGGAGGAGGCTCCCAGCTATGAGCAGCTCAGCAGATGCTGGCATTGCAGAACGCACTGCACTATGGGTGCCAATGCCTGCATGGCCTCCAGACACTCCTCCCCCTCCCCCCCAGGTACCCTGGGGCAACTGCCCAGATTTTCCCAGCATGCACCGGCAGGCCCAGCTGGGTGGCTGGTAGGTGTGACACACTATGTGGCTGACACATCGCCTGTTGTGAAATAAACAAGCTGTTGTGCAGCCCAGCTCAGCGCTGTTTGCATGGAGCTGGCCGAGGGTGTCATGAGCCAGTTGTGCTTGTGGCATAGACAGGCCCACAGTGACAAATGGCCATGGACACTCCCTCTATTCAGAGCCCAGTCCAACAGCAGATGAGACATAGAGTTTGTGGGCCCAGGGCAGAGTGAGTGCAGGAGAGTCCAGAGAGGGTCAGAGCTCCTGTCACACTTTCCTCTGGCCCCTTTGCCTGGGAGTGAAAACTGCTCCCTTCCACTTAGACCCAGGCCCATGTAGCAGCATGTGACACTCAGGCATTTACACTTCACCTTTGCATTTGGCTCACTAAATGGCAGGGGGTCTAAGCTGGTTTAATTAACTCACATGCAGAAGGTCTGGAAGAGACGAGAGGAGCTAGAAAAGCAGCCATTGGGGGTGGGGGGAGACACTGTGTATGTGGCCACCACAACTTCCATGTGGCAGAGGAATGTGACAGAGGCATGCCCAGGCTGCCATATTACACCTGTGTCTGCCCAGCTCCGTGCCAGGTCACCAAAGGCGGGGTCAGCGCGGTGTTTGCTGAAAGCAGGGAAGTCGCTGTTTGTGATGGTGATTGGCAGAGGTTTCCATGGTGTCCTTTAGGAGAGATGTAAACGGTAGAATATTACAGCTGACCGGATGAAGCATCACCCGCCATGGGATGGGCCTCATGTAACTCAATCAAGAGTGAGAACAAGCAACATCTTTGGGCCCAGATGGGCCCTGTGTCAGGACACTGGAGCATCAACAAAAGCAGAAGAACCCCGACACAAGACACTATCACCTTCACGTCTCTGCAGAGTCCCTGTCCCAGGCTAGAGTCCCCCACCCTGTAAGTTCAGCCTGTGTTCTTTGTTTCCAGGGATGGACATTGACATTTAGCTGTGTTAAAATGTGCATTGTTTGTTTGCAGCCAGCTTACCAAATGATCCTGATCACTTTGTCCTCTTCATTACTTATCACGCTCCCAATCTTTGGGTCATCTGCAGACTTGATCGGTGATGATTTTCTTTTCTGCCAGGTCATTGATAAAAATGGTAATTAGTGTAAGTCCTAGAAATTATTCCTGTGATACCCCAGTAGAAACTCACCTGATCAATGATGATTCCCCGTTTACAGTTATGTTTTGAGACCTATCAGTCAGCCAGTTTTTAATCCATTTAATGTGTGCCATGTTAATTTTATATCTTTCTAGTTTTGTATCCAACATGTCGTGTGGTGCCAAGTCATATGGGGTATAGAAGTCTAAGTATATTACATCAATACTGTTATCTTTATCAACCAAATTTGTAATCTCATTTAAAAATACATAGATCAAGTTAGGTTGACAGTATCTATTTTCCATAAACCCATGTTGAATGGCCTTAATTACATTATCCTCCTTTAATTCTTTTTTAACCGAATCCCATCAGAGCTATTCCATTACCTTGACTGGGATCGAGATCAGACTGACAGGCCTATATAAGCTGGTTCATCTAGTTTCCCTTGTGAAATATTGACACAACAGTAGCTTTCTTCCTTCTTCCTGAACTTCCCCCGGGTTTCAAGACTTACTAAAAATCAATAGTAACAGTCCAGCGAGATACTCAGCCAGTTCTTTGAAAACTCTTAGATGCAAGTTAGCAGCATCTTCTGATTTTAAAAATGTCTGCTGTTAGTAGCTGATTTTTAACATCCATCAGTGAGTACGTTCTAAGGGGGATGATTTCCAACTCCTTCCACATCCACTCTAGCTTTATAGTTGTATGTTGGCTTTACAGTGGCACAGGATTAACCCGAACATTAGGATGGTTGTTTGGAAGCTTAGTGGGACACAATAAACTGTTGGTTAAATGGAAGCTTAAATACTTGGGTGAGCACAGGAGGGAACTTCAGAGCTTGCTGGCTACTCTCCTGGTTCTAGACAGTTGGCTAGCAGGGCTGGTCAGGGCATTAGCAGGGCTGGGCAGTTCATCAGGAGACTTGGTAGAGCTGATCTCCAGGTCTGCAGTGTAAATGTCTTTTTGTGCTAGTCAGACTCCAGCCCATAATGAATGGGCTGAAATCAAATGCCAGGGGACATACCCAGCCCTCGTTAATGGGAGTTCTGATAAGACAGGCTTGAACGCCCCAGGGAAAATTCCAAATTCAGACATCAATCTGTTACACACTGTCAGAAACACTCAGGTCCAGACACGGGGCCTGTGCATGTTACCCCGCAGGTAGCTGGGCCTTCCCTGCATGGAGACAAGGTTCTGTGAGTTCGAGATCTGAGCCCTGTCTTAAACACTTCCAACTGTGACTCCCAGTGCACCATGCGACCGCATCCTCCCGCCTCTGCCAGCCAAATGTGTGCCTGTAATAATTACAGCCCTGAGAGGAGATGCGGGGGGGAAGGGAGACCGTTGTGTGTTTTCCACAATGTATAATTTTGCATCTGATTAGTGCACTCTAACTTCACATGAAGGGAAGTTCTGCTGGATTCTGACGCCACGGTGCTCAGGAGGAAGAGGACATTAAATGTAAGCGAGCAGCAATTGCTTGGAGCTTGAGAAAGCAATTAGGGAAAACCTCAAGCAGATTCTTCCAAATTAAGCTGATTTTGGAAAGAAGGAATCCCCTATAATTAGCTCTACAGCTTCCCAGCAGCCCGGCCCCTTCCATGTGCTATGAAGCAGTGAGGATAATTTCATGAGCAAAATATGTCTGCAGTGGCTTCTTTGAACGTTTTTCAGCTCCAACACATTTCAGGCTGAATTCATTTCCGTTTGGCAAAGGCCTAAAGCCTCAGTATGGAGACTCCAATAGCTTCTCCTAGTAGCTTTTCGGTGGACCAGTGGTTTGGATCTATTCTGGAGCCCCAAGGAAAAGGATGTTCTGTGACAGACACTTAGCACCACCTGCTGGTACCATCAGGGCTGGGAGTCTCACACCAGGCTTGGGAAGGGTGGGGAACGCAGGCAGGGGAAGTGTGGCACAGAACAGTTCCTGGAAGCCTCCTCAGGCCTGAGACACTGGGACAGCTGATGTCAGGGTCTCCTCTCTGGATGCTCTTGCCCCAGCACGGTTCTTTGGTCCCCTGGCTGTTGGCCTGACAGCCCATGGGAGGTCATCCCCTGCAATGCCTTTATCTGGTTATTAACAATGACCAGGGCGGGGGGGGCACTGGTACCATTCGTGGGCTCTCCAGAGCTCTGTGGGGGCAAGGTCCAGAGGCGATTCTCTGAGACCCCTCAAATGGAGCTGACTCTTGATAGAAAAGGCTTGGAGGGACGGTTAGGCAGCTGCCAGCCTCCTGCTGGGGGAGAAGTGGAGCCCTTCTGCTTTGGGCTGGCGCTGGGCATAGTCGCCACGTTCTTCTACAGCTTCCCCTGTGATCATCTTGTCTCAGCTCCTGCATAGCCCAGGCCAGAGAACATCACCCAGCAACTCCTGCGTGGAATAGGACTTCGGGCTGAGCCAGAGCCGAGCTTTTACAACGCCACACCCAGTCTGAACATCAGAACGGCCACACTGGGTCAGACCAAAGGTCCAGCCAGCCAGGGCCGGCTTTGACTTTTTTGCTGCCCCAAGACAAAAAAAAAAAAAAAGCAAACCAGGGCGCAGGGCAGTTGGACCCAGAGTCCAACAAAAAAAAAGGGGGGTCGGGCATCCGTGCTGCCCTAGGATTGGGCGGAATGCCGCCCCTTAGAATCTGCCGTCCCAAGCACGAGCTTCCTCGGCTGGTGCCTGGAGCCGGCCCTGCATCCAGCCCAGTATCCGTCTACCGACAGTGGCCAATGCCAGGTGCCCCAGAGGGAGTGAACCTAACAGGTAATGATCACGTGATCTCTCTCCTGCCATCCATCTCCACCCTCTGACAGACAGAGGCTAGGGACACCATTCCTTACCTATCTTGGCTAATAGCCATTAATGGACTTAACCTCCATGAATGTATCTAGTTCTCTTTTAAATCCTGTTATAGTCCTAGCCTTCACAACCTCCTCAGGCAAGGAGTTCCACAAGTTGACTGTGCGGTGTCTGAAGAAGAACTTCCTTTTGTTTCAAACCTGCTGCCCATTAATTTTATTTGGTGGCCCCTAGTTCTGGATTGAAAGACTCCACCCCTTGGTGAATTGGGGGGTGGCTCAGTGCCAGTCTAGTGCTTAGCCAGGAAGTCTCATTCTGCCTTTGCTTGCTAGGTTGAAGATCCCTCTACTATCAGAGCTCTAGTTACAGCCCACGTGGCCCTTGCTGCCAGCCAGGCAGGGCCCTGCTACTGCCCATTTACACACGTGGGGAAGAGACTGGGCGTGAGTCGCCTACAGACGTCCCTGCCAGAGCTCGGACTAGGGCCCAGGAGTCCCTCGTTCTAGCCTTGGGCTTGCTCCACTAGTTGTGCAGCATCCAGCCGGCTGGGGGGCCAGCCAGGCCCCACTGGCTGCAGAGCAGTTAGATGGCCCGTGGCTATGAGCAGGCTTGTGCTAGCCCTAGTGCCTCCCTTGCTGATGCAGGCGGCCCTTCCCTCCATGGCTGAGAATTGGTCTGTGGCACCCCAGGCTTGGCTTTCCCCCAGCCTCAGAGTTTAGTCTCTCAGGACCCACATAGTTGAGGAGAGGCCAGGGCTCGGGGGCGATTCCTGCAGGTGCTGCCGGGGGTGTGTGCTGGGGGTGGGGGTGAGGGGTGTGTAGGGTGGGTGGGATTGGGCTCACACTGGTGGGGGTCAGGCCTGGGGAGGGTTGGGATAGAGTTAGTGGGGGCCTGGGGTCACAGGTAGGGGGAAGGGCAGAGCACCGTGGGTAGTGATTTACAGCCATACCAGCAGTGCCTGGGCTTGTGCAGTGCCAACCTGTGGAGCTGGCCCAGGGACTGGTTAGTTTTAGGGCAGTGGGTGGAGGTTTGCCTGGCACCCTACTTCTGCTTCTCCGGTTCCTGCCTCCCCCCCCAGAAGTGGCTGCTAGGCAGAGGCCCAGGGATGTCGCTGGGTGACATCTCCTCGAGGGTGGGAGGGGCTCTCCGGCCAGCAGGACTTGGTGGTTGCCTCTCGTTTCGGACTTTCGCTTCCCCTTTCTCACAGCACGGAGGCTCTTGCACAAGCCCGAAGCCACACGTGCTCCAACTGGGTGCGGGGGAAAGAACACGTCAGCCTCTGTCATGGCTCATGGTGAAAATGCCCCAACAAACCTGCTGAGGAGAGAGCCATGAAATAATGAAATGGGTGTTCGTTAGAGCGCTGCCTACCAACGCCCCCTGTCCTCCCACAGGAACGGGCACACTCATATGCACACGTGCTCACACCTGCACGCTCGCTCCTACTGTGTGCATGCCAGGCTCACGTCCCGCCTACACTCACATGTTCACTCAGATCCCGTTTGTTCAGAACCCCCTCCCCGCAGACCCTCAGGCCCTGGCTGGGAAGAGAGCTCTGCACCCATGGCGTCCTGCTCTCCCTGGCTTCTCTGTTGGGGTTTTGGGGTGAACCACATGCTGTGGGCCTGTTTACATTTGGGTTTTACTCTGCCCTGTAATCTGCTGCTGGTTCCTTCACACAGCGTGTCCCAAGCACTGCGCACAGCTCTAAATCCCAGGCAGGCTGGCCATGCGCCCACCCTGCTCCCATGTTGAGTATGAGAGCGGGACCCTGGCACGCAGGCTGGCTGACGGTAACACTGCTCACAGCTGAGCAGCTGGAAAGGAGGGCACGGGGGGGTGCCAACTTAGGCATGAAGGGAGCCGGCTTCCTTTAAATGCAGCCTGACCCCTCCCCAAGAACAGAGACATGGGGGCTTGCTCCGGGCTCCATTGATGCGCATGTGGAATGGCTGTTCTGCGGAGACACAAACACCTGTGTGGCCTTTGTACCACACCCGGGTTAGAACTGACACCTGCCAAACCCCTGGGGGCGCAAATGTTGCTTGTGTGAGAGAATGAGAATTGTTCAGGTTCCTGACCAGGTGCAGTGTGTGTGTGTGTGTGTGGTGGGTCTGCATGTGCATGCAAGTGTGTGTGTGTGCGCGTGCATGTGCACGTGTGTGTTTGTGCATGCGGGCATGTGT